CTTAGATACTTTTTCTTGAATGAGACTGGCAATGCTTTCCATTGTAATTCCATAGCATTATGAGGAACACTGTAAAAGTGGTAGTAATATGTGCATGTGTGTGTGGGGGGGTGCTAAGCATTCTATAATCCTTTGATTAGCTCTCAGTTTTTTAGAGAAACTGTCCTTTGTTTGAGACTTCTCAGGTGTTTTTCTTTTCCCCAGTTTACCTTGAGAAGGGTAGAAGTGGTTACAGTTGGGTATTTCCCTTCCCCTGGGTCATTTAGGCTCTGGTAAAATATTTCTCTTGAGGGCAGGCTTTCGTTTAAAATGCCCTTGGTATACTTCACATGTTCTTTGCATACTTTGTTCTTAGTGTACTTCACAATGGTTGCTTTTTTCCTCCTTTTGAGAGAAGGGGATTTTTCTCTAATCTTCACCATGAGAATCTGTTAGGATTCCTGGAGGTAAAAGTCATGAAAGTTTGGAGGCCCCCCCTAATGGGCCTTTTTGGAGTTTTTAACTCTGGAGCTTGCCCACATTGAGCCTCCAGCAATCCCCCAATTATAGTTTAAGACAGTCTTAAACTATAGCTTCCCCACCCCTGCTTAAGTTTTCCTACTGTTAATGGCCCCGTTGGTAGGCTTCTGCCACTAGTAAGCTGTGATTCTCTGTCAACACCTATCTGCCTCTATAGTTTTATAGGCAGCAGTTTGCCCTGTGTCCTCAGTTTTCTGATGGGTCTAAGAAATGTTGATTTTCTGTTTGTTCAGCCTTTTTTTGTTTGTTTGTTTTTCGTATAGGAGTGACAGCTAACAAGATTATTTGATGTCAGAATGGAAACTGGAAGTCCTCTCATGCCTTTTTTGTTCCTCAGTCCCTCTCTTACTACCTTCATTTGTGTTTAACCTAGTTATTTATAGAGTACCATTTTAATTTCCTCCTCATTTTATTTTCTAAATATGTTTTAGTTACTTTCTTGGTGACTACCCTGATGAATACAATTAGCGTTTCAAACTTAGAACAATCTCATTTGAATTGATTTCAACTTAGTTACATTAGTATTCCAAAATTCTCCTGTACAGTTTTTTTCTTCCCTCTTTATGTTTTTGTAATGATAACATTATTATACATTGTGTCTGCTAACATAAATTTTATTATTATTATTTGATTCATTTTAATCATATAGGGAAAAAGAATAGTGAAAAAAAACAATACCAGATCTTATATTTATCTATGTACCTATATTTACCTCTTATATTTACCTATATATACTTATGTAGTTAAATTTACCACTGTTATTTATTTTTTTGTATCACGTCAAGTTACTATTTATTATTCATAAACTCTTATTTTTGAAATGTCTTAGTTTTTCCTTCATTTTTGAAGGCTTGTTTTGCCAAGTTACAGGGTACTAGGTTGAAAGTGTTTTTATTTCAGAACTTTAACTATGTCATCCCACTGCCTTCGAGCCTCCATGGTTTTTGATGAGAAATCTGATGTTCATCTTATTGGTGATCCCCTGTATGTGACAAATTACTTTTCATGCTGCTTTAAAATTTGTATCTTTATTTTTGGCAGTTTGATTATAACGTGTCTCAATTTGGAATTCTTTGCATTTACCCTATGTAGATTCTGTTGATTTTGTATATGCAGATTCATGTCTTTTATCAAATTTGGGAAATTCTGGCCATTATTTCTTCAAATATCCTTTCTTCCTCTTTCTCATTTATCTCTCCTTCTGTGCATTATGCATTTGTTGGTATACGTAATGTTGTCCCAGAGGTCTCTTAGGTTCTCTTCATTTTTCCTCATTTTTTTCCCCTTTCTTCTCTGACTGGAAAATTTCAGTGAAGTATTTTTAAGTTCACTAATTCTTTCTGAAGCCTACTCAAATCTGTTGTTGAAAATCCTTTAGTGAATTCCTCATTTCAGTTGTTACAGTTTTTTGTTCCATAATATTTATTAGATTCCTTTTATAACGGTTTTTTTTGCTTTATTGATGTTCTCTGTTTGTTAAGACATCATTTTTATGATTTTATTTAGTTCTATTAATATATCCATGATTTCCTTTAGCTCTTTGAGCATATTTAAGGCATTAATTTAGAATTTTTGTGTAGTAAGTCCAATATCTGTGCTTCCTCAGGGACAATTTCTGTTATTTTTGTTTCTCTGTGAATGGGCCGTAGATTCTTGTTTCTTTACATGCCTACTAATTTTTTTGGTAAAAACTTTATATTTTTAGATATTTTAATGCATACTCTTGAAATCAGATTTTTCTACCTCTTTAGTTGTTGCTTGCGTGGGTTGTAGTTCTTTGTTTATTAACTTTTCTACTATATCTTTCATCACCCATGATGATCTCGAGTCTTTTTTACATTAATTTTAACTTTTGTTACCCCTTTGACCTTTGAAGTCTCTTTAACTTGAACCTCTGTGATTAGTTAGTGATTAGATAGAGATTTCCCTAAATACTGTGTGTAAGTCATCTTCTGTTGATTTAGCATTCATTTGGTTGTAAACATTTGATCATTTTTCAGAGTTCTGACAAAAGTTGATCCTGACCATTTTTGTCCATTTTTCTGTGTTACTGTGGAAAGGTATGGCCTGACGTTTTCCTCTCCACCTTTTTGCTGTGTCATTTCTGTCTTCTTTTTTTTAATATTATAGAAAGCTTGTTTTGCAAAAAGCCTAGGTAATTTTATATAGGATGAAGTTAGTCAGCTGGCCTAAATAAAGAGGGCATATACTAGAAGCTCAGAAAGAGATAGCTGATGCAGAGAGCATGAGCGTCATGTGGTTTGTCTAAAATGGTGGGGAGGAATAAAATGCCTATTGACAGTTACCAATATTAGTACTGGATTTCAACCTAAACAGTGTCTTTGATGTTTTTCACTTGAGTAATCTTTATCTAGTTAAGAAACAACCTGTGTTTCTTTTAGTTTTGTGTTGTGATTTCTGAGAGTTTTCCTTTAGTTTCATGAGTAGTGGATTTTAATGAATTTTTTAAATTTTCCTTAAACTTTTATAAGAGTTCAAAAGTAAAAAAAAAAAACGTACTTCATCATGATGATTCAATTTCATAATCATGTTATGATGCATGAATACTCTCACATCTGCCATCTTCTGAATTACTTTGTGGATAGTACTATCAAAACCTGCACCTTAGGTGAATGATATTTGAAAGGCTAGGCCACATTTTGCTAGTGCTTTTCATAGCTCCACATATATTTCTCATACACAAATTTAGAGGTTTAACTTTTCCTGGGCCTAGAATTATATAGCTTCATTTTAAAAGTACTTAAGGTAAAAATAGGCCATATATAAAACTTTCTTGCCCCAAATCAATGGACTACTTCAAAGTCTGCCTCAAATTAAGTGTTCTGTCTGATTTTACAAAATCACTAGGATGGATTTTGTTGTCTTTCTGTGATATTTTATAATACTTTATAATATCAGTTCAGATGGCAACAGGGAAGTTTTACAGCATGTATGGGTTTGGGAAGGTATGAAAGAAGTATGTTGAAATAACAAAATAAAGGTTTCCCAGTATTCTGGTAGGATACTTTGCATATTAATAATTTTATGGTCAATTGTATGATCTTCATATCAACAGACATCCATCAAACATATTTTACGTAAGACGTTAGGCATTGGCAGTGTAGAGTAAGGATCTTTCAAGGTGGTCATATTGTAGTAAAAAGAAAATATTCATCTAATAATAGGGCAGGTTATGTAAATACTATAGAGAAATTACCAGTTGCTTTGTGGGTTCTCAGGAAGGGAAGATGTTATTAAGGTGATGAACAATAAGGGAGGTCCATAGAAAATAAGTGGTGTTTTGAAGGAATTCTGTGGAAAATGAACAACTTAAACTCATGTACACCGACAGAATAGGGCATATTTGGTCCAGGATGGCTAATGGCTAGCATATGGGTTGAATTATAGGGAAAATAAAATTTTCAGGACTTTTAGTGGTTAAATTATAGCCAATTTTGATTGTTAGGCTGAAGTATTCATGTTTTTAATCATATTCTTATAGCTGGAAAGAATGACAAAAGTTGCATTATTTAGCCCCTTGTTTTACAGATTAGAGAGTGCAAATCTCCAGAAGAGATTATACAATATGTTTTCTGTTTCTTAGTGATACACCTAGGGCTCAAAATCATATTTTTTCCATGTATTTTGTTGAATAGTGGGGAATAACTGAAGGTTTTTGAGGTTTGTGGTAATGAGGTTCATGCTATAATTTAGAAAGATTAATTAATAGAAATCCTTGAAGTGATATTTTTTTTTCTTATTCCTTCTTTGATTTTTAAGTTTTGGTAGTACAATAGGAACTTTTCTCAGATGATCTTGCAAAGACATTATTCATTGACACATTGCTAAACCCAGTGCTATTTTGTTGGTTTTGTCCACTTATCTATCCCAAACACCTGGGATAATACCTGGCACATAGTAGGCTCCTGGCAATTATTTGTTAAATAAATGAATGCGTGCATACATGAATATGTTTATCATTTCAGTTACTATGGCCACTACCATAGTTCAACCTCAACTCCATTCAAGTGTTGTATCGTAGTTTATCTTACCTCTATCACTTTGTAGCTATAGATTAAGAATTTAGTTAGTCAAATGACACACACCATATTATATGGATAGAGTTAAATAGAGTATTGAATGAAAACACACACATTTATACATGTTATATACATATATAAGTCATAAAAGTTGTAGTAATTTTATTGTTCAAATTTTATGAAATCAATAGCCAAATATTAATTATCAGGAAAGTTGATTAATTCTTATGTTCACTGTAGAGTGAGATTTACCTGATTTATGTAAAGCAAATATTTGGCATAGGTTTTTTGCTGAAAAGGAGTGGTTTAGCATTAGAAAAGCTGCTTAATTTTTTATGGAAGAGAAATATTATAGAAATTATGTTTTATTTTTCAAAAGTCAGTTTAAATATTGTGATATAGGACATTAGATCCATGATAAAATGTAATATATTTTCTCAGTTTCATCTCTAGACACTGAAAAAGGACCCAAGCCATGTACAGAACATAATTGTGAATCTTCCAGCAGACTATCCAAGGTATGTTTGGGGAGGCTTGAAAAAAGCAAAAAAGTTGGAAGAACATGCCCCATGTGTAAGTAAGCATCTTAGCTATTTATAAAATACATTGAATCCTCATAGTTAGGGATTTCAACAATAAAAATAAAATTTCACCCAGTAATAATGATAAAATTGAATAGAATTTATATCTTTATAAAATACTTTCAAATTTGGCATTTTGTAATTGATTATATGAATAAGAGTGATTTTTCCATTTATTTGGCATTATTTGCTATTGCTAATTAATTTATAATTATTATTCAGGTAAAATTCTGTCCATGCTACTCTTATCTATCCTAAGTAATAAGCATACTTGAATTATAATATTTATTAACTATTTTCATATTGCTTTATACCCAGTATCTTGCGTATATGCTTAGGATGAAAATTATGCTACAACTTCCAGAAGCAATTTAATTTTGTTGTCTTTTTTTTACATTATTCTTTTTTTTAAATTCCAAAATATTAAGGGGGTACAAATGTTTTTGTTACATGGATAGATTTTATAATGCTTAAGTCAGGGCTATTAGTGTGCCTATCACATGAATACTGTTCATTGTATCTGATAGGTAGGTTTTTACCCCTCCCCTCATCCCCCATCCTCCATTCTTGATTTCCAATAACTTTTACATCTCTCTGTGCCCATGTGTGCCCATCAATTAGCTCCAGATTATTAGCTCCACATGTGGTGTTTGTTTTTCCATTACTGAGATAGTTCACTTAGGATAATGGTTTCCAGTTCTATCCAATTTACTGTAAAAGACATAAATTCATTCCTCATTAGGGCTGAGTAGTACTCCAGGGTATATGTATACCAAATTTTGTTAATGCACTCATGAATTGATGGGCACTTAGGTTGATTCCACATCTTTGGAACTCTGGATTGTGCTGCAATAAATATTAGTGTGCAGATGTCCTTTTGACTTCTTTTCCTTTGGGTAGATACCCAGTAGTGGGATTGATGGGTCAAATGGTAAGTCTATATTTATTTCTTTGAGGAATCTCCATACTGTTTTCCATAGAGGTTGTACTAATTTGCAGTCCCACCAACAGTGTATAAGTGTTCCATTCTCTCTGCATCCATGCCAGCATCTATTGTTTTTCTGATATTTTAGTAATGGCCATTCTGACAGGTATAAGGTGATATCTCATTGTGGTTTTAATTTGCATTTCCCTGATAATGATTAGTGATGAAGAGCATTTTTTTCATGTGTTTATTGACCGTTTGTCTATCTTCTTTTGAAAAGCTTCTGTTTACATCTTTTGTTCACTTTTTAATGGGGTTGTTTTTTTCTCGCTGATTTGTTTGAGTTCTTTTAACAAAATAGTTAAAAGAGGATCCTATCTCTTTCTATATATTTTGAATAAGCTCCTATATGTCTACAAAAAACTTTCTGGGATTTTGATATGGATTACATTAAACCTATATATAAATTTTGAGAAAACTCACATTTTTACTATATTGATTCTTCCAATCCATGAACATAATGATATGTTTCTACATCTTCTTAGGTCTTCTGAGATTTATTTTATTAACATTTTGTGATTTTCAGAAATAAGATCCTGTACATGTTTTAGTAAATTAGTACCTAAATATTTTTTTTTCTTTGGAGGTATTTTAGAGAATATAGTGTTTTAATTTTGATTTTCAAATGTTCATTGTTAGTGTATTTAAATGCAATTCATTTTAATATGTTGATACTATTTCTTGTGAACTTGCTGAACACTATTATTCTAAAAATTTTTTAATTTTGTGAGGTTTTTTTAAAAAAATTCTTTGAGATTTTCCATGTTGTCAATCATGTCTGCTACAAATTGAGACAGATTTATTTTTTCCTTTCTCTATTATAAATAGGGGAATAAGTATCCCTTGAGGGATCTTTAGGGATCATTTCAACATAGCCACAGAAATTACATTCAGAGAGGCATATGCAATTAAAGGATTTATGGTACTCACAGGCCCTAGACACAGGAGGTACAGCATGGCTATGTAGTAGGAGCTCCCAGAGAGTGAGCTCAACCAAGCAGATGGAGGGAGCCCAGAGAAGGAGGGTAGGAGGGTAGAGAGCGAGAGAACTAGAGAACCTTTGGGCAAATGCCTTAGTTAGGGGATGGCAAGAAGGTGAACGTGTGGCAGGGATCACACTGGTGGACCAGGCCACTGGGGTAGAGTTCTCACAGCCTGTTAAGGGAGATGTTGAAGTGTCAAGAAAATGTGAAGTTTTAAAAATTTACAATATACTTTCCAATTTTTTTGTGTCTATTTACTCTTTTGGCTTATTGCAGTGGCTAGACTATCTAATACTATGTTTAATAGGAGTGGTAAGGGCAGACATCTTTTCCTTTTTCTCTAGCTTATGGGGAAGCATTCATCTTCTCATTTTGACCGTTACACGAGCATTTATTTCTGAATTCTCTATTCTATTCCATCTGTCTTTATGCCAGTACCACACCATTATGTTTACTATAGCTTTGTAATGAGATTTGAAATCAAACAGTTGTGAGTATTCCAACTTTATTTTTCTTGGTCAAGATTTTTGTGGCCCATGAGATTGCATGTGGATTTTAGGATGGGATTTTTCATTTCTTCAAAAAATGCCATTGGGATTTTGATAGGGATTGCATTAAATCTATAGATAGTTTTGGATTGTATTGACATCTTAAGTGTTCCAATCCATGAATGTGTGATGTCTTTTCATTTATTTGTATCTTTTAAAATATCTTTTAGTAACATTTTGTAATTTTAAGCATAATTTTCCCCTCCTTGGTTAATTTATTTCTAAGTATTTTATTCTTTTCGATGCTATTGTAAGTGGAATGTTTTGTAAATTTCCTTTTAAGTTAGTTCAATTTAGTGTATAGAAAAGCAACTGATATTTTCATGCTGATTTTGTATCCTGCAACTCTCGTAAATTCATTTATTCTACCTTTTTGTTTGTGAAATCTTGTGTATTTTCTATATATAATATAATGTTGTCTGCAAACATAGGTAATTTTAAATTTTCCTTTTCAGATCATATTCCTTTTATTTATTTTTCTTGCCTAATTGCTGTGCCCAGGACTCTCAGTACTATTTTGAATAGAAGAGGCAAAATAGGGATCCTTGTCTTATTCCTGATCTTTAGAGGAAAAGCTTTAAGTCTTTCAATATGCAGTATGATGTTCCCTGTGGACTTTTGTTACATGGCCTTTCTTATGTTGAGGTTGTTTCATTTCTAAGGTTTTGAATGCTTTCTCATGAAAGTGCCTTAATTTTTTAATGCCTTTTCTTGTCAGTTGAGGATACCATCTTTTTTCCCCTTCATTCTGTTAATGTGATGTATTATACTGATTTTTGTATGTTGAAACATCTTCACATTTCAGGAATAAATCACATTTGGTCATGGTATATATAATAACCCTTTTAATGTGCTATTGAATTCTGTTTTGTCGAGAATTTTTTACATCAGTATTCCTCAGGGATATTCATTTTCTTTTCATGTAGTCTTTGTTTTGCTTTGGTATCAGGATAATATTGGCCTCATGGGATGACTCTAGAAGCTTCTCTCCTCTTCAGTTTTTGGAAGAGTCTGAAGAAGATTGGTGTTAATTCTCTCAGTGATCAGTGATGTTATTACTAGTGAAGCCATCTGGGCTTTGTTGGGAGGTTTTTGCTTACTGGCTCAATTTCCTTACTAGTTACAGATCTTCTCAGGTGTTCTATTTCTTCATGATTCAGTCTCTGTAGGTTGTATGTTTCTATGAATTTGTCCATTCCATCTTGATTATCCAATTTGTTGATATATAATTTGTCTCAGTCCATTGAGATTGTTATAAAAAATACATTAGACTGTATAATTTATACCTGATAGAAATTTACTTCTCACAGTTCTTGAGACTGGCAAGTCCAAGCTTAAGGATCCAGAAGATTTGGTGTCTTGTGAAGGTTTACTCTCTGTTTTATAGATAATAACCCCTCTTCATGGGTTCTCATATGGCTGAAGCCAAGGAAGCTCCCTTCAACTCCTTTTATAAGGGCACGAATCCTAATCGAGGGTTCTGCCCTCGTGACTTAATCACCTTCCAAAGGCCCCTCCTCATAATACTATCACATTGGCAATTAAGTTTCAGCGTATGAATTTTGGGGGGGCATATTCAGATCATAGTATAATTATGTATAATATTCTCTTATAATTTTTTTTATTTCTATAAAATAAGTTGTAATGTGTTGTTTTCTTTCAATTCTGATTTTACTTCCATCTTCTGTCTTTTTTTTTTCTTAATCTAGGTAAGTGCTTATCAATTTTGTTGATTTTTTTTCACAGAACCAATTCTTATTTTGGTTCGTTTTCTGTATCATTATGTTCTCTGTTTTGTTTATCTCTGCTCCAATCTTTTTTATTTTCTTCCTTCGACTAGATTTAAATTTTTTTTTCCCAGTTCCTTAAGTTGTAAGGTAGGTTATTGATTTGAGATTGTTTTTCTTTTTTAATGTTGGTATTTATAGCTATAAGTTTCCTCCCTAACATTGCTTTACTTCATCCCATAAGTTTCTCCTGTGATTTCTTCTCTGACTCATCGGTTGTTTAGTGATGTGTTGTCTAATCCATATATGTGGATCCAGTTTTCCTTGTGCCATTAATTTCTAGTTAAATTCCATTGTGATTGGAAAAGATATTTTGTGTGATCTCAACCTTTTGTATTTATAAATACTCTTTCCCTGGTTTTACATATACTCTATTCTAGAGAATGTTCCATGTACACTTGAGAGAAAAGTGTATTTTGCTATTGTTAGGTGGCATGTTGTATATATGTCTCTTAGGTCCAGTTGATATATAGTGCTGCTCAGGTCCATTATTTTTTGGAGCATTTAAGATTTTAGATGTTTTGATTAGAGATGCTCAACCTCTAATTAATCTTAATCACTAATTAATTAATTAATTCTTAAACATTTCCTTAACCAAAGTTTGTGTTTGGTTAAGTAACAAGCAACAGATTCACCGGAGTTTATCAAAAGTACAAAAATCCGTTTAAACTGTGAAAAGCTAGTAATTGAGTAATATGATAAGAGTAGCATATTTATGTTGAGTGTAGTATATTGGAAAACGTTTTTATAGTTATTTATAGAAATTGTATGGAAGGGATATAATTTATAAAATATTTGAAGAACTCTAAATCCATATGCATCTGTATTACATTTATTTGTGGCTAACAGTTTTTTCAAATTATATTTATATTTTAGGCTAAAAATCTCATAGAGAGATTTTTTAATCAACAAGTAGAAGTTCTTGGGAGACGGGCAGAGCCATTGCCTGAAATATACTATATTGAAGGTACTCTCCAAATGGTTTGGATTAATCGCTGCTTTCCAGGTTATGGAATCAATATCCTGCAACATCCAAAATGTCCTGAGTGCTGTGGTATGTAATGAACTGTGATTTCTTGGGTTTCTTGTTTTGTTTTGTTTTGTTTGAGACAGAGTCTTGCTCTGTTGCCTGGACTAGAGTGCTGTGGTGTCAGCCTAGCTCACAGCAACAACCTCAAACTCCTGGGCTCAAGAGATCCTCCTGCCTCAGCCTCCTGAGTAGCTGGGACTATAGGCATGTACCACGACACCCGGCTAATATTTTCTATTTTTAGTATAGATGGGGTCTTGCTCTTGCTCAGGGTGTTCTTGAACTCCTGACCTCAAGCAGTCCTCCCATCTTGGCCTCCCAGAGTGCTAGGATTACAGGTAGGGGCCACTGTGCCTGGCTGATTTGTGGTTTTATATAGATGAAAATTCACTTATTTTCATTAAGCCTAAGTGAATGCCTATCATTTATTTTTACTATCATTTAGGAATTTCTTTAGTTTATTTGAAGTAGTGTATTTGAAAAGACTGAATATGAAGATGTAAAAGGTAAAAATCTGGCTTAATTTTGGCCTTGGCATTAATATAGCAAGGAGAGTTTAGGAGCATTAGGAAATTGTCCGGGAGGAAACACCAATAATAGTTATGAGTAACTTAGAGTTATTTAACCTAAAAAGAGCCAAATACATCTTTTAGATTCTATTATTGATGAGTTTAGGTTTGTATTGTCTAGAGTAGGTATCTTTGTGACTTTTGTTTTCTTTCTGAAATAAGTATATGAATTGTTTTATTACCAGTTGTTTTTTCTGACTTTCGATCCTAGCTCTACAGGATCTGAGCTCCTCTCTGGCATTCATTCTTCTTCATCATAGTTGAAAGCTCTGTAGAGGCTGTTGACTTAGGTTGAGTGGTTGAGTAGTTGAGTACAAGGATTCAGTCTTTGCATTTGCATTTCTATTATCGAGTTGAATGGACCAATTCATTTTCAGTCTCAAATTACCTTTTTAAAAATTTATATTAATAAGTATCACTAAATTAGTGCTTGTCTTAGTCTGTTGTGTGTTGCTATAAAGGAATACCTAAGACTAGTTAATTTATTAAAAAAGGGTTATTTGGCTCATGATTCTGATGGCTGAAAAGTTCAAGGTTGGACATCTGATCAAAGGCCTCAGGCTACTCCCCCTCATGGTAAAGGTGAAGGTGAGCCAGCATAGGCAGGGATCACCTTGTAAGAGAGGACGTGTGAAAAAGAGGAGAGGGTGTCAGACTCTTGTAAACAACCAGCTCTCACAGGAGCTAATAGAGTGAGAACTCATTCCCAAGGGAGGGCATTAATCTACTCATGAAGGACCTGCCCCCATGACTCAAACAGCTCCCACTAGACTCCACGTCCCAACACCACCACACTGTGGTGAGTTAAATTTCAACATGATTTTTAGTGGGGACAGTCAATTCACATCCATGCCATAGCAGTATTGTTTTCCTTCAGTCTTCTGCAGTTGTTCTTTCCTTTCCTCTTTCTACACTTTAAGTGAGATTAAAACCCTTTTCATGTAATAGAGTAGTAAATATTCTTTTCCTTTTGCTTTATTTGATTTGGCTAGAGTTTGCTTTATAATTTTTAATTATTTTTTTTTGTTTAAATACTATATACGAAATTTGACAAAATGTACTAAAGGGATATCTTAGGAAATACAATACAAATTTAGTCAATAAAGCACTTCCAAATGCCAACTTTGTAACTATTTTGAAAATCAGTGGTTATGTGTATCACTCTAGAACACAGACAAGGTTGAAGAAAAGCCTGGGAATACTGAGTAAAGAAACTAGAACCTAGCATTTTAGCTGTCTCTATGAATTTATAGTTTTATTCCATAAAGACTTAAGATAAACTTAAATTGTTAAAGTATTTGCATCTCATTAATTATAATAATTTTGAAATTGTTAAACATAGGTCTTTCAAGTGAAAATATAGTTTGGAATCTCTGAGAATTTCAAATAACTTTACCATTAAATCTTTTTTTTTTTCTTTTATGAAAGTTTGGGTAATGACATAATTGTGAGATTCTCTAATTTCTCCATAATTTAATTATAACATTCAGGTTTGATCAAGTTCGTTAATTATTTTATTCCTGTCAACAGAACTCATAAGAAGTATAAATGAAAATTTATACATAAATCTCAAAAATATTTTCTGCCTGTGAAATGCTATTTTGTTTCCCCAAATATGTAGTCTCTGCCCACAGAGTTTAGATACATAGGAGATACATCCATGAAACAATTAGGAAACAAGAGACTGCTAAACTGCATGGAACAGAAGGAAAAGAAGATTATATAAAGAAAACTGAGTTAGAGATAGGATAGTTCACAAAGGTTTGTTTAATGTAATTGAGATAAAGCTTTGAAGGATACCAGGATAGCAAGTACTAATACTATCCAAGCAAGAGCATGGATGAACATCAATTTCCTGGGGGCAATTTTGGTTAAATAAAATTTATATTTTTGATTTCATAGGCTCATTATCATTGCTCAATAGACTTATTAACTAGTGATTGGCCAAATTTCATTTTGTGCTATCCTATGATAAGTAAATATTTTAATTTTTTATTTTTTTATATATTTGTACATAATTTGTGGAGTGCATATGAAATTTTGTTACATCCATTGAATGTTTAATAACCAAGTCAGGGTATTTAGGGTATCTATCACTGGAGTATTTATCATTTCTATGTGAATTACCTTTGTCCTATTATCATCTTTGTAAGCTATTAAGCAAGTCTGAGTTCCCTTTTGTGAACAGAACTCTTTAAATATAATGTGACATTCAGGCCCCACTTGCATATAGTAAGTTTTGTCTATATTATAGAAGACCATCACTCTAAAATTTTAAAAGAGCACATACTACTCAAAAAGACATTTAAATCATTCTTCAAATTGAAAAACAGTATAAAATATTGTTTTAAATTATCCCACATTTTAATACTAATTACAAGACAAAATTAACATACTAAATGAACTTAAAGTCCATTCGAGTGTGAAACAGAGCGCTAGATAGAAGCTCATAAAATATACGAGGTATTTTGTAAAACGACTTATTTCCAAAATGAAGGTACACCGTGTTTATGTACTACAAAGAAGATTAGGCATGTTTATTACATGAGGGAAGTTTATTTACATTCTTAGTAATAGGTTAGGTTAACACTGAATTTGTTCTTATTCTTTGGATATCTTCCTTTATTCGTTTAATTTTTACTACTAGGTGGCAGACAAAGATTGTTTTCTTTTAAACTAGTGGAGACTTAACATTTCTATCTATATTATTTTTCTTTTTCCTAACTTACTTAGCATTTTTAAATTAATTTTTACTATAAAAAGCTCAGTAACTTCATGGTTATCATTGCTTGTTATGTACATCACTTTGTCAATCATTTTGACATTAGAAAGAGAAAAGAAAAAGTTTTAGTTATATTTGTGAATTATAGATGTCTTATAGTTTCATAAATTATAAAAATACTGTAACCAAAGGCCAGCTAAATATTATATTTTTTCTGATAGAAATTTGTTAAAACACAGATTCTGAAATGTTTTATTTTGCAAGTTCTATAATTTCTAATATTTCTGCGAAACTTTATGTATCTTGTATATTCATGTTTACCCATTTTATTCCCATTAATTTTTTTAAAAAACAATTGTCAGTCAAATAACATTCTTTGGCACAATACCACACTCTCCCTTCTTTTTTCTCCCTTTAAACTATGGCAGTGGTTTTAAAACTCTTATTTATATCAAAATTCCCTGGAGATTTTCTCAAAATTATGTCCACTGTGTATGAACCAGACCCCAACATTTATAAGAAGCTGCCTAGGTGATTCTGATGTACGTGAAATTTTGAGACTCCTGAATGTTAGTGTTGATAAGGTAATACTTACATAGAATGTCTGAATATTAGTATTGATAAGGCAGTACCTAGACAGGATCCCTGTTGTTCTGCTGAGGCAACAGAATATCTGCCATTGATTATTGCGGACTGAAAATATAGCTCAATAATAGTTTAAACAGCATTGTTTTTTTCTGTAGCTCTCTTTATGAAAAAGATTAGCTATTGCTCATTCAAGCCTTTTGGAAATCACATGAAAAATCCAGCAGGGAGCCCTTTTATTGTGACACAGTATCTGTGTCAGTGGTCAGAAATGATTAGGGTACAAGTTCAAGTATTTAATCATCCTGAGATGGTGTTATTAATAAAGTATACTTCTGTACTTTAGATTAATTGTGCAGTGAAAGTGAATTGTTTAGTAGGTACAGTTGTTTTTAATAAGGTCTTTTAGACTCTCTAAATTTATCCTACTCAGACATGCGACATTGAACCCTTGTTTTAATTTTACATCAAAGGATGAGAAACACAAAAATGTTTCCCTGGCATTCTTTTCACTACATGTATTTAAATAATTATAGACCCACAAAAGCACCATTCTTATTTTGGATCATTATATTTCTGGGAATACTATAAATAATTAAAAAATTGTGGCCAATAGGTAGGTCATCCTATGGATTAGCAGTATAGGTTGCCCAGATTTTCATTAAAAATATAAATTTAGTTCCAGTAAAAGCAGGCCATGTAATTAGGACAGCTCATCTGAATGAAGCTGTCTTAAATATGTTGAAGAATTGGCAACATGATGAAGACTTACTGGGTCAAAATCTAAAAAAAGTAGTCTGCTGCTTCTGGCTATGGTGAAGTAGCTTAGAGCAGACAAAAGCTCTCACTGAGAAAATTAGAAGAGTCAAATAAAATATAAAAATTACGCATCCTATTAAGACATCAGTGAACTGTCAGGGCATAAAAATTCAAGGGGCAGCAATCCTGAATAGAAGGACACTATGGAAATAAGTGATGGGTGCCAAAAGGCAACATGTTTATGTACTGAAATGAAACAACTGCGGACTTAGAATACTATACCCAATGGAAATTTTCGCTATACATGACAGCAAAATAACACTTCTAGACAAACAACATATGACAGTGTTTTCATAGGCAGATCTACACCTCAAGAAGTAATAAAGGGA